GGRAAGTCTGCACGGGTATGGACAAAAGGATAAGCAGGCTGAGGGTGGTCGGGAGCACTGTGGATTATTGCCAAGGCCCTGCAGCCCCTTTCTGTTGGGCCCAGGGCTGCACTCGGAGCCGCCTCCAACTCGTGAGGTGCTGAGGTCCCTCAGCGAGCCCAAGTATCCCGGCTATGACAGAAGGAGCCCCACGGAACTCGTCTGTGCCAGTCCCTGCTCTGGGATAACCCCTGGTGCTCCTCGCCTGCTCCCGTGCAGGAGCCTTCCCGAGTCTTGCAAAAATAAGGGGCCACGTGGGGTTGGTAGCTGAGAAGTGAGCAAACCACGGTAGCCTGCCCGGGGAAAAGAGCGTGCATTGGGCAGAGCAGCCCCGGCAGAGCCCCGCGCATGCACTTTGTACAGTTTGTCCTGCCYAGAAAGGAAGCGAGCTTAACAGAGGATCCCGCTCAGGCAAACAGTTCCGGAGCTTTATTTGGAGAAGCTGCAAACCTGTTACAGTTCACTTGCTGGCGTGAAAAGCTTGAAAACATGCCACCGTTGAGATCAACGAATGAGGGTTTAAGCGGAGTAAGACCAGTGAGGCCGAAGAACACGATGGAGTGATCTCGGGGTACGCAGCATGAATCCAAACGTCCTGAATTTTAATCCCGGTTTTGTCATGGACACACACCTGGCTGCCTGAGTCCTTACACTATCTTCAGTCACAGCAGTATCTGTGTAGCTTCCAAGGGGCTTTCCAATAGCAGTAAAAAGCTTAGGCTTCCTTGAGGCCTGCAGACTGCTTCCTGTTCACAGTAAAACTATCTGAAGGTAGGATTTAAAAAAGAAAAAAAAAGAAAAAAAGGGAAAAAAAAAGAAAAAAAAAAAAGAGAAAGCCTTCATTTCCAAGTTGATTTTGTTCTGTGAATTAAGCTTTTCTAATCTTGCTCTTCTGCACTTCCTCCTCTCCTTGGGCTTCAACGATTCCTTTCGGTTGCTTACATAACCTCAGCACTGCAGTACCCTGCGGTACTTCATCTACATAAAGCATGGTATAAATTCCCCAATTATTACTGCATAGTGAAAGCAGGAAAGTTACCCATTGACCAACCTACCTATTTTTAGTCATTTCTAATAAGCATATCACATCCGTATCTAACTGGTCATAAAAAAGTCGGACCTTGCATTAAGCCTACCCCGTGAGATCCTCCCCGTCAATGACAGGTATTACTTTAGGGATTTTTTTATCTGCATTCTCTGCAAGCCAGTCTTTCCTTCTCACTGTTACCCAGCCATCACTCACACCCTTTTACAATATCCACTGCCACATACGGGAAACACGCTGACGTGGAAACGGAGCAGGCAGGGAGCAGTGAAAAGTAATCTGCAGAAAAGGGAGAGGAGGGAGTCCCTTCCCCCTGGCTTCTGGCAACCCCCATGTTGGTCATTTTGCTTTGTATACTCTATGTTCCTTTGCTTGGTGTTTTGTCCTTATGCTGTCTTTTAATGAACAAGCTCTTCGGCAACGAATACAGCTTGGAAAACATTCTAGCCTGTTGTAGCCACTATTGTAACATAAATATACATTGTTTTTCAGAATTCATCACCACCACACACACACACACACACACACACACTCTTTCCTTCAGCTTTGTTACTGGAAAAGAACCTCTACTAATTCATTTTATGCCTCCAATGAAGTGCTATTATCATAAAATACTTCCTATTTTAGGCTTCATATATCTGAAGTGCTTCATGTATCTGAAGTTGGATTTAGTTAACTTTAGTATTCCTGCTGACACTGGCAACAATTTGTCGAGACAACTTCAAGTATTTTAGCACATCAGCAGATGTGAAAACTAAGAACAGGTCCAATTGCATCCTCCCAAACCGGTGGGAAACCCAGGGAAAGAAAAACAAGACTCTTGAAGCCAAATTAGCCCATAAATTAATGACAATCGGTACTTTTAGCCAGACACCATGTTTGTATCTTGGTCCTTGGTTTCATACTTGGACTACWGAGTTCTGAGTCTGTGACTGTCATTTCCAGTATGTTTGCTCAAAGCAGTAACTAACAAATGCAAAAAATGTAACAAACAAACAAACAAAACCCCCCAAACTCTTCAGTTTCTCTCTGGCAGAATGTCCTTGTTCAAATCTCAAGGATTTGAAAAGAGTAAGCTTGACTCTTGTCATTTAGCTCGGTTTAGTAATGCTCCACGTTCAAGGAAYTCAGCTGAACTACCCTCATTTTTTAAAGCCAGCAAGAGTAAAGCCTGGCCTACTGTTTCTGACCCTGCTCTTATTCTCGTAGTTAACGAACAGCTCTAATTAAATCTAGATTAAAAGTCTGTCCACTTTGTGCTGTGGTCTTAAACTTGTTTTTAACCCACTTCCTTCTGCCTCTACCAATATATCTTCCTTTGTTTAAGGGCGATGAACAAAGAAATCACCAATCTGCAACTCTTTCTCCTTCCTTTCCCAGCTTTTCCAGCTAATTCAGCTCTTTTTATCAGCTTTGGAACATGCTGACCACATTTACCTTGAAATCGGGTCCTTTGGGCTTTCATGACCTTGTCCTCTAAATCCTCCTTTCGCCCTTCCAAAAATTCACTCCTTTTCCTTCTCATTTTTGGGGGCATATACCAAGGCATTTGCAGCCTCGGCACACTTTGTTTCTCCTTTTACATCTTCACGTAGTACATGCTGTGCCTGACATTCCTCTAAGTCCTATTACTATGTCAGTTAATTTTAAATTTAGTTTTATAGAGGGAGATGATAGGAACCAGGCCATTTTTGTTGCATACCTAAAGCCACTATAATACTTGTGTATTGCAAGCTGAAGCACTGCAGGAGGTTGTGGGGTGTGAAAACATCGCTATTCTTACTCTGTTGTGCAACGAAAAGCTGATTTTTKCCCAAATCACACGATTTGGATCCCAATCTACCACTGTTGGCAGAACAGTTCCATCTCCGYGTGTCGAAGAACTTCTTCACTGTGAGGGTGCCAGAGCCCTGGCACAGGCTGCCCAGGGAGGCTGTGGAGTCTCCTKCTCTGGAGRTCTTCCCAAYCCRCCTGGATGCCGCCCTGTGCCCCGTGCTCTGGGTGTCCCTGCTGGAGCAGGAGGTTGGACTAGATGATCTCTGGAGGTCCCTTCCAACCTCAACCATTCTGTGATTCCGTGAAAGCCCGTATCACTCATCTTTGGTCTCCTACTGCAGAATTCCTTTCGCCTTTCCACCTTCCAGTGTGCTCATTTCTGTGACTCTTCCTGCATTTCCTAAAGCTGACACATACCATGGGGGTCCCGCTGCCTCCCTGCAGCTGCTGGGAGCACACGGCTCTGCTCATCGGGACCCTCCTGGAGGGGTGGACACAGCCTGGCAGGGAGAGCAACTCCAGCAGCTCACGAGGCTCCGGAACAGGGTGCGGAGCTGCRGGACGTCGTGGCACGGATCCGCCCTGGCACCGGGGCGAGGATGCTCAGCGTGGCCGCGCTGCTCCGACGGCGCTCATGGGTCACCCTGGGAGAATCCGTGTCCTCGCGTCCCTCCTGCGAGTAGCCTTGGTGCTCCGGCACCTTGGCCTCTCAGCTCTCCCTCCCTCCTGCTCCTCCCTGCTCCGCCAAACCAGATCCCATTTCCCTGCCAGGGCCTGGTCGCGGTGGCCAAGGCAGCGGCCTTGACCTCCTCGCCACTCCGGAGGCGCCGTGCGCCGCCCCTTGCCCCGCTCGGCCTGTTTACTTTGTGCCGCCCGGCGCGGGCCTGCGCAGCTGGACTCGCACCCTGCGCCCTCCCATGACTTCCCGTGCCTTCCTATGATTTCCCGTGTCTCCCCGTGATTTCCTATGATTTCCCGTGTCTCCCCATGATTTCCCATGATTTCCCATGTCTCCCCATGAATTCCTGTGTCTCCCCATGATTTTCCATGATTTCCTGTGTCTCCCCATGATTTCCCGTGTCTCCCCATGATTTTCCATGATTTCCCGTGTCTCCCCACGAATTCCTGTCTCCCCATGATTTTCCATGATTTCCCGTGTCTCCCCATGATTTCCCATGTCTCCCCGTGATTTCCCATGATTTCCCGTGTCTCCCCATGATTTCCCATGATTTCCCGTGTCTCCCCATGATTTCCCATGTCTCCCCGTGATTTCCCATGATTTCCCATGTCTCCCCATGATTTCCCATGTCTCCCCATGATTTCCCATGACTTCCCATGTCTCCCCATGATTTCCCATGTCTCCCCATGATTTCCCATGTCTCCCCATGAATTCCCGTGTCTCCCCGTGATTTTCCATGACTTCCCATGTCTCCCCATGAATTCCTGTGTCTCCCCATGTCTCCCCATGATTTCCCGTGTCTCCCCATGATTTCCCATGTCTCCCCATGATTTCCCATGATTTCCCGTGTCTCCCCATGAATTCTCGTGTCTCCCCGTGTCTCCCCATGATTTCCCATGTCTCCCCATGATTTCCCATGTCTCCCCATGAATTCCCGTGTCTCCCCGTGATTTCCCATGAATTCCCG